GAACATTTTACCAACTAATTACTTGAATAGCTGTAATTCAGTTGAAGAACCTATGGCATACAGAATTCCTTTCAGAATCTGTGATTTTTTTCTCCTGTAGAAAATTAAGTTTATTTGACCAGAAACTCTTAAGGCCATTCTGTTAGCATACAAGAGGAGCAGTGAGAGATCGTCTCTGATGTTATTCACAAAGGCAGGTTATAACCGGGAGAGACCAGTGTCCTCTTCAGGCTCCCCCTGTAGTCGATGAAGAGAGAAAAACTCTTCCGAGCGAAATTGAGAGGCCTTAAATTTCGGTATTTAGCTCTGAACTGCCCCAAGGAGGAGCGTATGTATCACAGACCCTGTGATACAGGCTCATCTCCCAAGGCAAGGGTTGGTCTTTGTGAATCTGTTGTCTTTCAGCTGGTTGCCCATTACTTTATGCATAGGAAACACTTCTACGGGAAGAGAGTCTGGTTTTATTCAAGGAACCCCAAAGTGATACAGGGTTAAAGCAGCATTCACGCCAAGGGACATGGGCATAGAGTGTGTCAATGGTAACAGAACAAAGCCAAAAGGTAAAGAAGTGTACGCTAAATTTTCTTATTTCACAGGCAAGAAGTATATCCTCAACCTTTCCAGCATACGTGTAAGAGATTTTCATGCTGCTGTTACCTTTAGACATCTTACACAACCAGCAGTAGTCCACCACTGGGTTTCAAGTACCCAGTATGGTTCTTGTCAAGTTTCTTGTTTGTACCAGCACCCTTGGGCTTTGACCCCAAATTTGTTGTTTTCAAGGTTGTTTTCTGGTTGGTTTTCCCCTTCAGAAGTATTTTAAGAGAAGTTACTCTGTGGGAGGAGGGTGTTTGGATGTGGAGCTGACATCCCCCAGATTCTCAGATTGTCCCTCCATCAGTGGCTGCGGTTCAGACCTGCTAAACTTCTGTGCTTGTGCAAAGACCAAAGGTGATTGCTCCAGGATAATTTTGTCAAAAATCCTGGTATCCCACCACAGGTCTGTGACATTTCATAACTGTACAAAACTGTACAACATACGTAGCATGCAGAAATACCAGATCTCGTCTTGACACAACACAGTAGGTCCACCTTAATTGAGCAGTTGGGAGAGACAAATATAGTGTCCCGTTCTTTCAGAAAGACAGAGATTTATGCTTTTAAGTGTGAGTAAAGGATGGGTAATATCCACCATGCCCATTACAGCTTACAGGGAAAACTATGCCACAAAGTGTCAGATTTCAAATGTTTCCAAAAGGATCCAATGAATTTGTCAGGAAATCTCAGTAGCCAGCATTATAGGAAAATGTAACGAGCAAGCAGCTTCGATACAGAACTTTTTAAATTTAAAATTGTCCTTATTTTTTGAGCACCTGTCTTATTCAGCACTGTAAAATTGGCTCATTGCAACAGCAGTTTATACTTGGGGATGAAGATGCAGTATTCCTTATTCTCTATCATGCTTACACAATTAATTACATAGGTTTAGACTGGCTTGTATATATGATTATTTGCTGGAGTAATGTATAACAAAATTAACAGTGTTAAAAATTACATCGGTGATGTTGATGTTTGGGGTAAACTCACAGTGCAGAGCATGGACAAATAGCTGGACAGCCTTTCTCCCCTTTGATAATGGGAATAACAGTGATCATAAGTCTCGTTTTCCATTAGCCACATTGAAAATGTATTCTAGTTGCCATTTATAAATTTATCTTCTGATAATAAATGCTGTTTAATGGAAAAAATCTCTTTCTTCTTTATTGAAGGTGGGTAGCTCAAAATCGGAGTAAGTTTCACTATTAATACCCCATTTATTGTTTAGTTTGAACTTTGATCGGGAAAGGTCAGTGTGTGAAACTGCATCTTCCACAGCAGACAAGTTGAAAGATCGTTCAATAAATCCTCCCCTAATCCCACATGCTCATCCATATACCTGTGCATATAAACCCCAGCACTTCCACATGCCTCCACCTATGTGCAGGTAATAAGTCTATTTAAAAAAAAAAAAAAAAGGAAGAATTGGAAATAAACACTGTAAAAGAAAATACTACCTTCTTAAGAAACCAGCTGGTATTACTGTATTATGCCTTTGCCTGTGATTTATAACCGGAGAAGTGCACAAAGAAATTAAGAAATTTAAAGTTAGTTATATTTTCACAGTTCCATTACAGTGTAACAGTTGTTGTGTAATTTACGCTTATGAGGACAAGCCCATTGGTACCTCGAAAAACGCTTAAATTCTGATCAATTTCCACAGTGAATCAGGTTTTAGTACACAAATATAACTATAAGGATACTGCATCTTTAGAAATCAAAATACCTTGAAAGTATTTTACTAGTAACAGTTTAAATATTCTGTAATATATGTGATAGTGGAAAGTATTTTCAAACTCACATTTTTACATGGGGTGTAAATAGGTTAAATGAAGTACATTTTAAAAAATCCTTTAGTTTTCATTAGGAAAAATGGTAAGATAATGCCTTGCAAAGTTTAAACACAAAACGTCAGAAGTAAATTATTCTGTTTTGTCAGAGCATGTTTTCTCTGCAAAATGGAGTGGCCACTTCTTTGCTGTTTTGCAGATGGTGTGCAATATAGCGAAGTCATACTGAGTCCTTCAATGTCGAGTAAGTCAACACTCAGAATGTCTTTGACTGAATAAAGGAAAAAAACACTTAATCAAAATGAAA